GGGCTTAAAATGTGTCGGGAATGGCATGTGATATATAGCCAATGACAGTGATGCTTTTTATATTGTTTCGTCGATAAGAATTTTACGTTATCTATCTAGGCTGTGACGTCTGTGAAATAACCAAGGCCAACTTATACTCAAGGCCTATCAGACAGGACGAAATTCCGGTTCCCAGTTTCCAGTAGGTTTCGCGAAATTCGTCTTTAGGTGGCCCTCGCGAACCGCTATACTTTGGCTATACATTCAACATTTGTAACGTAGCTCATTAATAATAAAAAATGTATTTCATTAAAAAGTTTCGCTGTTTGCTAATCATAATACAGGATGGCGTATAGTTGCATGCACACTGCAAAGTTTTCTCCTTTTTAACAATTCTTTTACGGTTGTTAAGTAATTATTCGCAAAAATATAACTGATGGAAAAGCTAAGCATAATCCACTAAACATCGCACTTCCATCAGTTATACGTAACACGACAGCCCGGTGGCAAAGTGGCTAGCGCGTCGCAAAGCTGCGCCACAGGTCTGGCGTTCGATCCCCGGGCTGGGCAAGGTTGACTCGCCTTTCATCCCTCGAGTGGGTTGATAAAATGAATTCCAAGTTCGCTTTGGGACTGAAAACCGGGGGTCCTGCGACAAGCTGACCGCTTGCCCAGGATATATGCTAATGCACACCGAGACCCAAAGGTCAAGAAAGCAGAATGCAGACCGTGGCCCTCTAGGCCTGTTGCGCCATTGAGTTTAGTTTATATTGTTTCGTCCGTATGGATTCATAATGGATTGAATGCACAAGTCGATAAAAGTTAATAAAATTTAACCTTATCCTAAGAAATAAAACAAAATGCGGAAATTTCCTCAGAGATATTCGTATAATATCGCAATATCTCACAGTAGTTATATTTTAAACTACTTAAACGTTTATTAGAACTCAATTCAAAACAAAGAGAAGGCTAATCCGATCTCATTGCGAATTCGCTACAATCAATAACAGCACTAGGTAAACAAACGAATTCAGATGTTTCGATCTCGCTTTAAAGCTTTTTAATCGTGCACGAGAACATTCTTACAATTCTTATTTTCTCGAGGTTTCTGGAAAGCAAAAGACTACAATTACGATATATGTATTTATTAAATGTTAAATGCGCCTGCTCCTGTACTTTAACTTTTCCGGCGTAGCTTTCTCTTCAAAGATGTCTCGTGCTGCATTGCACGGGTAAATGAAACAATGTAATTGCAATTTTACTAAAATAGCAAACTAAATACAAAAACCGTAACACTATGTAATACATATTTAATGCAAATACATAATACAAAATTTCCTAAACAAAAACGAAATTCACGTAACTTTTTTGAAATATTTTTTCCCTCAGCTTTTGTATATAAACGAGCTTTTTAATACGTGTGTGTATGTGTATTCAGCTCAATACTTCTCATCTCACAGTTTTTATAGTGTGCTATCAAAAATCTGTTTTCCAACTTCAAATTTGTTTGATCTTTATTAGCCAATTTATATTTACGCTTATTTTTTAAATTTATTTCATTTCATGCTAGTTACTGCTCCCTATTTCTAGTGATATTACCCTCACTATCTTCATAGCATAAATGAATCTCTCAGTAATACCTTCCAAATCACTGTATACTTATGTGAATTGAAACTAAATCCATTCAAAGAATAGAAATATATGTGTAATTTTTAAATCCGATATCCACTGTAAACTTCTGTGATGTGTATTTAGTTTACGTTCAGACACTGCATGCTAAGAGTACATTCTGTGTTGAAATCTCAGAAAATGAGTATGCCTATTGTTTATAAGTACTGATTATATTGCAGTCTTTATTATGTTTCTTAAATTAGGTACTTTTTCATCTTCATGTTATAAAATGTGGCTAATATTCCATAAGCGGGGTAAGTTGGCACCAAACTATTTTGGCTTGGCGAATTTTTCGGCCGCAATGAAAGCATTAAGATGAGATTTTTAAACGTAAACAGAATAGTAACTTTTAAGTTTTGCAATAGTAAAACGCCGTTATTTTATGTAAACAGAATAGTAAAATGAGATGATAAAATACTAGATGAGTAAAACAAATTCCAACAGCTTTGCAAGTAAAAATTTAGTCCTATGTATGTAATTCATCATAAAATAGTCGAATGAACAGTTCTTGTAAATAATTATTGAGTAAATAAATATATACACGTATATATAATATCAGAGTACTGCGTATATATAAAACAGATCAGAGTACTGCGAAGTGAGTTTTAAACGTAAACAGAATAGCAAATTTTGGTTTACATTAGTAAACAGCGATTATTATGTGTAAACAGACTAGTAAATGAAATTGATTAAATGATAAAACAACGTCGTGGAATTCAACACACTAAACAGCATCTTTCGATTGCCACATGCAAGAAACAAAACGGGAAAAAAAAAAAAATTAAAAAAAAAAAAAAAACTGAAATTTTTTCAGATTTTAAATTACGTCCAAAGGGGCGTTTTTTTAACGTTTTGAGTGTTACCTTTATTTATTAAATATCATGTTCTTTGCACTTAAACCACAAAATTCAGTTCAAGAGCAATATCGCAAAATAATGTTAAATTAAGCATATCTTTAGAATTTCCGATATACACAGTCTCGCGAGCTGGAGATAAAAGTATTTTTTTTTTCTATATAACGTTGCCATTTCTCGCTTTTAAAGCATTGAGTTTGTAAATCAAAAATTCGTTAAAGTTTTACAAAATATAAAATCTATAATAAAACAAATTCCAAATTTGGGATTTCAGATGCCCATATTGGCAGTAGGATTTCGTCATTCAAAATTCGATGGCTCTATGTACCATTGTTTTATCACAATGCGAGAAATAGACAATCATTTATGCAGATTTTTCATTATTTAATTTCTTCAAATATAATGCAGGACTCTAACATTTTGTGGCAACAGTTTGAAAAGTGAACCGACGTTTATGAGTCCGACGCAAAATGCCAAAACGAAAGCAATAGTCCTTCGGGACTGAAATCCCTTTGGACTAATAATTAGATAAAATTAAATGAAAACATTCATAACTTCATGTCATCTGAAATGCAACATTCTCCTACCAACAACAGCTTAACCTTCTGAAAATATTTAAATAAACATAATATTAAACATATATATGTGTGATATTTTAGCAGTCGGGCGCATATGAGTTCTGGACCTTGTGGTTTGAGTGCTAAGGTAGCATCCAATGACGACACAGAAGGATTTCACTTTTTCCTATTCCATATCTTTATTTCAATTTTCACCGCAGATAATTTTTACTTTAGATGAAATTCTCCAAATTACATATTCAATAGTGATTTAAACTAAATACAATTAAATTTAGACTTTCTGAGGTCATAACTATTCTAACAAAGGAAAAGATGGGTTAAGCAGCAGCGAAATGTTGTAGCGCAAGAGGAGAGAAGCAATCTGATGCAAAATGGCGCGACTTCGTTATTTATAGAAAAGGTTACGTAATAGGCTCGAATGTTCTGAAAAGTACAGGTCTAGGGGGAAGATACTGAATTGCAGGAAGTTAATTAAAGGTTGCTGGTTCGCAGGGAGCAAAGCCGTTCTATTTTTTATATTTTACATATATATAATAATAATAATATTAAAAGCAAAACTTTTAAAAACAAATACAGTATTTCAAAATTAAATTAAAACAAAAAAAAATCTTCTGGCTACACTAAATTCGCACTCTTACAATTACTGAAATAAAGCTCTAGATTTGCCACAAGAAAACATACAGCTGGAAACCACAACCAAATCAGAATCGCTCCAAATAAAAAACTCTATCCAAGTTTGGCATTTCCCCCCCCCCCGATTATGGAAGATAATAAAAATTTTCTATCATAATAAAGATAATCCTTGTTTTCTACCTAAATGATAATTTAACCTACTACAAATATATATATATATATGAAATTGTGTTTGATTTTTCCCCAATTGTTAGCACAGAAGTGAATTTAATGCAGTTAAAATTTAAGAATGTATTCATGCATATATTTTATAAGAAATGTTAATTGCATTACATTTTTTATGAAATTAATTACTTTTAAACTCTCCTATTGGTTATCTTTGATCCAGAATATGGCTTTATGTTTTATTACATGCTGTTGATGATATTGAAGTACTTGGTATTCAGCAATAACAGTCTCGAAATTTTATAAATGATTCATTGTGATTAATGTCATGCATGTCTTATAATATGTTGTTGGAGATATTGAAGTACTTGGGTATTTAGCACTAACAGTCTCAAAATTTATACTCCCTACTCTTCGACCCAAATTAATTGCTACATTTAGGTCGAAAATTTTGTCCCAAATTAGTTGCCACATTTCGAGTAGGTGGGGTCATAAATAACTTTCGATGCAGTTTAGTAGATCGATAGCAGTAATATTATATATACACTGTACGGCAATGAATATAACGCTGTATATACTAGATTTTCATTCTCAGTTTTTACTTTCCACAAATGTAGCACTTATTTTGGGATAAATTTTTTGAAGCAAAATTACAGGGTTCGCTCGCTCTTAGCACGCTCCATTTTACTGCCAGTATATCAGAAATATCATGTTTATGTGATTAAGGCAAAGCCTAGAGAGTTGTCTGCCTAAGGGAGGGTGTGCCTTCGTGGAGGACTTTCTAAGGTAATTGGCTAATGTGCACAAAAAAAAATCGTTTCTTTTTAGGATCTTTCATATTATAGCCCCCCATGATAATTTTGAAAAGAAAACAATAACTAAAAATTTAATTTAAACATCATTTATTCAATTTATCAATGTAATACCTAGTAATACATAACGGTAATAATAGTAATATAATTAATATATATAACAAATTGAAACCCATTGGGGTACAATTGAGTGTTGACAATTTGGGGTACTGTAACAAATAATAATAATAATAATAATAATGGTGGTAGAAACAAAAATTAGAATTGAAAAAATTAGAAAAAAAAGAATAATTGAAAACATTATTCCTTCACGTTTTGGAGAAATGATGTTGTTTCATGTTCGATACAATTGCTTCAAAATTGGGACTTTTTGATGTAAGAGCGATTTGAATACAGTCTTCGGCGTTTAATCCATTTCTGTTCTTCGTTTTTATGTTCATTAGAGTGGAAAAGCCTTGTTCGCACAAATATGTTGTTCCAAATGGCAGCAATTTTTTAACCGCCTCTTCATGTGCAATTTTGAAAGCCTTTGCAGCTTTTGACATCCAAAAAGACGACAGATTTGGTTTACTCTCAAATTGAATACGTGCTTCAGTATTAGATCGAAGTTCAAGAATTGCTTCTGCCAAATCTGAAGGTTCTTTTGGTATCATAGCAATTTCACATTTAAAAGGATCTACAATCCAACTGACAGTACGTGTATCAAGATCTGGAAAGTAATCTGAAAACCGCTTTCTGAGTTTGATAAGATGTCTTACAATTGTATCCTTGATGTCAGCAAAAGTAATATTTTCGCAATCTTCCAAAAACAAAGCTAACCTTGAAAAAGAAGCTATCTTGTTCTGTTCTACTTTCTGTCTCCAATATTGCAGCTTTAATCCAAACGCTGACACTATTTCTCTCGCTGAAATGATATTAATATTCTTTCCTTGCAATTCTTTGTTTAATATATTTATACTCTCAAAAATGTCCGCTAAATATGCGAGATATGCAACCCAGGAAGAGTTTTTAAACTTATCTGCGAGAATATTTTTTGATCAACCATAAAAATTTCGACTTCAGTTTTGAGAGTCCATACTCGATTTAGTACATTTCCGCGAGAGAGTCACCTTACTTCTGTATAATAAAGTAGGTCCGTATATTCAGCTTCACCGTCCTGACATAATTCACGAAATAGCCGCGTGTTTAGTGCATGTCCCTTGATAAAATTTACAATCTTGATGACATCATGCATGACGGCTTCCAGTGTAGGTTCTAAGTATTTGACCATAAGGGCCTGGCGATGGATCACACAGTGAGTAACTTCAATATTTGGGATAATTTTTTTTTTTTTTTTTTTTTTTTTTTTTTTTTTTTTTTTACGAAAGCCGAAAAACCATTAATATGACCCAGCATAGCTGGAGCTTCATCCAAAGATACAGAAATACAGTTTTTCCAATTTAAACTTTGCGCATTGAAGTATTCGTTTACTTTATTGTAGACATCAATTCCAAGAGATCTCAACTCGAGAGGAGAACAAAACAGCAATTCCTCTTCAAAATTATCTGCACCTTTGTAGCGAACATATACCATTAGCTGTGAATTGCTACTAAAATCAGTTGTCTCATCAAGCTGAATAGCAAAATATTTAGCCTGTTTTAATGCGAAAATAACCTGTTCCTTCACATTTTCTGCTAATACAGAAATTCGTTCATTCACAATGCTCGCAGACAAGGGCACTGAATTCAGTTTCTTCGCTTCTTTTTGACCACACATAATCTCTGCCATTTTTACAGCAGCTGGTTTAGCCAAATCTTCACCAATAATGTATGGTTTCTTATTTCGAGCAATCAACCAGGCTAATTCAAAGCTAGCCCTTGATGCTGAACGCTGATCAAATGTACCAAACAAGTTGCTATTCAATCTTTGTCTTTTAACAGATATTTCTAAATTTGCAAAGTATTCTCGCGGTTTGGAAGACAGGTGTGAATGCAAATTATCTAAATGTTTCTTCAATTGACTTTTTTTGAACGATTCTGAAGTCAGTACCTTCATACATACAACACACTGTGGTTTCATTGTACCATTGTCTTCTATTTGTGTAAAACCGTAATTAAAGAATTCGTCTTGGTATGTTCTTTTTCTATTTGCTGCCATCTGAAGGGAGACAGAAAATAATAGTTGTAATATACTTGAATTAAATTTTCAAATTGTTTAAATTGTTTAAGTTGAAAAAAATACTAACAGGTTTATAAAATAGTAAATTAAAAATATATACTTTTTACTCATTTTACCCCCAAAAATTTCATTTTTACCCCATTTGAGGCAATTTACCCCGGTTCCCCGACCGCTGAGCTAGAAGATAGTTTTATATGATTATTGATCGAAAAGTCCTTACAAATTTGGTCGCGGCTTAAGAGTCTGCGAACCCTGGATTTTTTAATCTAATTTGTTACTGATTTAAGGAGGGAATGCTTGGTAAGTAAATGTTGTTGATTGATAACTCAGCACCCTGAAATTTGTGAAAAATGTTCAGACGAAATCATAAAATCTTCAGTATCAATAATCAGTACAAAAGTATTAAATGTAGCAACTATTTTGGGACAGAGGGAGTGTATGATTCATTGTCATTCATGTCATTATATGATGTCGGTGATATTGAAATACTTGCTATTCAATACTAACAGTCCGAAAATTTTATATGACACATTATGATTAATGTCATGTATGTCATTATTATATGCTGTAGGTGATATTGAAATACTTGGTATTCAGATGATGTCACGAAAAGCCTATAGAGGGCGCTGTACTTTGCCTTTTCTTCAGTGCAGGATTAGAATTTGAACTGCAATCAGATGTGCGTATGAGTTAAAATGTTTGTAAGGCAGTCGCCGGCCATAACAATTAGCGGCAAAAGAACATTATACTATATTTCAGTAACTTGTAAATAAATTAATTATTGTTGTGTTTTAAACTAAACCTTTCATCTTCTATTACATACAAACCTGACCACCGAAAGGAATTAAATTGACGTTGATGATAGTTACAAGTTTGGATTAGTATAATTCACAGATGATATAACAGAACTAACTGTTTTCTTAAGTGCAAATTGTAATTAAAAGAGTTATTATGTTGGTTTGTTGTGTTTTTGAAATATATTTTATATCTGTATCTGTCTCTTTTCTTTATAGCAAACTGAGAGAAGTTGATTTAATGAACAGTTTTTCATTGGAGCATTTCAAGATTTCTAACATTCAAAATTTAAACTGTACCAATATACTTAATTCAATTTCTAATTTTTAATGTTAACACCAATCAAATCTAGAACACAATTGTAGTTGGAAGAGAAACACGCCAAAGTAATATTAAAATTAGGCAAAACAGCAACTTTAGTTTTGAGTTTCATTCAAATTCTGTGTCAAATTAAGATTCCTTTTTTTTTTTTCGCCTAACAATTTTACCCTTATTTTGAACATCTGTAATGTTGCATTTACTCACCAGAGCTCTAAAACTGCATTACTTAAAATTTATTTTTTAACATTTCCTAAAAACAATTACTTGATAATAATTAAAAGACAAAAAATAAAAGGGGGGTTACTTTTCCGTTTCGCCGGCGCAAATCAGCGCCACGCAGACTTTGTTGGCGACAACATACAGTATACACATAAAAAATTTTAACAAATGTTAGATCTAAGAATTTTTTATTTTGAAGGCATAAACATTTTAATATGGTTTAAAATTTTGAAAAAGACAATAAAATAAAGACAATAAATTTATAAGAAGACATTAATTTAAGAATTTACTATGCTTTCATGGTTCAACAATCTGATTCGCCGGTTCGTATTACGTGACCCCACGCGATCTCATCTCACGTAAACAACGCTACAAAAATCTAATTCTCTCAGTAATTATCTACATTAATTTCAAGTTAAATCTTAATTTGGAATACAAGTTTAAATGCAAGAAATATTTCAATTCGTTACTCAGAAATTATGTAAAAGCGCAGTGCTGTACTTCGCTAGTGTATTCTCATTAGAATTGATGAATTTAACCCTTGATTTTGCCTTTACTATATTTTCGCCTCTGGGTGAGCGGTGTGATTGCATCCTAATTGACTTAATTATCGCGAATGGTCTTAGGGCATAAAATGTAACTATCTTGTAAACATTCTATGTAATTATATGCCAGTATTGAAAGAAACAATCAATCTGATAAGAAAAGGCTGCGATATGTTTTGAAAATGAAGCGTAAAAGGTTGCAGCGAAGATATTTCGTTTGGCATTAATTGTACCATTATTGGCGACTTTATCGTTTGCGCCGGCAAAACGGAAAAGTACCCAAAACATATTGACGAATGATTAATGAAAGTGTTAAGGTTAAAAGGATGTCATTTTGAAAACTATGCCGAAAACCTTCAGATATTTCTCCCTTAACAAATGATTCTGTAATTAAGAAATAATTAACTGTAAATTAAGCTTACGACACGCTAACCAAGATCCTAGCTTAATTGATTTCTCAGCCCTACACTTCTTGCATCTCCAAATACTACCATTTGATGACTTTTCCTGACTAACTAACCCGCATGGTATCTTACATTTTTCACAACAAACTGTATCCTTTAATAATCCACAATCCATCAAAAATCCTCTAAAATTTTCTCTCTTGTTAATTCATTCATACATAAAATATCTGTTTGGAATGTCCAGTTTTCCCGAACTTTTACGTTTGCTTGAAAACTCGCATCTTAAATTCTCCTTTAAGATCTCCTGAAACTTAATTACAACCTCACTAACAGCAGGTTTAGAGCAAGCCATAACTAAATGAAAAAATCTTATCTGCAAAACAGTATTCTTCACGATGTCTGAGCGTTAAAAATTGCCGATAATAGTGTTACGAATTTTGCATTTAGCTAGTTAATTTTAAAAGAATTATAATTAAAATTGTTGTATTCCTCGTGCCTTGCAGAGCGAGAAAATTTTAAGAGAAAACTATGCCGGAAAAGTAAAAATACAGGGGCACCCGCATTTAACATTGCGTAGATGGATAGCTATAGATGAATGGATAGGATAGAAGAAATTGAATAAATGTAATTGACGCTATGTTAGCTGTAACCGTAATTTTTATCGCTTTCCAGAAATCTCGAAAATAGTAGAAATTTACGGTTGTTTACATTGCGTTTGCCGAATAGTATGGGTTTGTGGCCTTGGCTACTAATGTTCAAACTAAATTATGATTAGGAACAACAAAAATTACAAACAAATAGCTAAGTTTATTGCTTTTTTATTTTTCAGCTAACAAAATGAGACGCTGCTAGAATAACAACGTTCGGAAACCAAAGTAATCATGAATCAACATTCGTTGCTATTGAGCATAAAGAAATATAAATATGGACTACTTGTTGCCATTCAGCATAAAAGAAATATATATATGAATATTAAAAAATGTTAAAGTTAATTTTATGAAATAATTAAACACATGAAAAAATATAAAATTCTTGAAATAAAAAATAATTATTTCTCATGGAATAACTGAGACACTACAGATTACCACATGCTCATTCACCGGTATAGGTTGCCACATCCAATCATTTATCGCCATACTTGGCGATATTTTTGTGGTGAAAAATCTGGGTGGGCTATACTAAAGGTTAGTCTAATTAAGTATTATTTAATGTAAAAAATAATTATGAAATGAAACATGTAATCATTTCCTGGATTGCCTCAGAGCATTAAATCCAGATATTGTTACGGTTTTTGTATTGATTTATTTAGTTTGCTATTTTTAAAGAATTGTTACTAAATTGTTTCATTTCCACGTGCAATGCTGCACGCGACTTATTTGAAGAGAAAGCTACGCCAGAAAAATTAAAAATACAGGAGCACAACAGATATCTCATAATTGCAAGCTTTCGCTTTTCGGGGAAAATCGAGAAAATACCAGAATATGCTCGTGCACATTAAAAAAGCTTATAAAAGCGGGATCAAAACCTCTCAATTCAAGTTTGTTTAGAAAACTGCTGTTGTTTATTGTAGCGAATTCGTGGCGAGATTGGATTTGCTTTCTCTGTTTTGCATTTTAAGTTCTGTTGAACGTTTTTGTAGTTTAAAAGATAACTACTGTGTGATATTGGGATATTGTACGAATATCTGAGGAAATTTAAGCATTTTGTTTTTATTTGTTGTTATAAAAAAATGTTTAGTCATTTTTCATCGGACTTGTGCTTTCAATTCATAACGAACCCGTACGCACGCAACACTTTTTGGTGTCAGAAGTGGGATTTTGAATGCCAATAACTAGAGCGATGGACGAACAATTCAGGTAATTGATGACGGAATTTGTTGCGTTCCAAGAAAAGATGGAAGGGGCCGTCAACTATGTTAAAGAGAGATGAAAGCAGAACAGGAATACGTTAAATGAAATGTAGATGCTGGTCAAGAAAAGATGAAAATGAGCCAAGAATCCGTTAAGGATGAATGAAAGTGGGCTAAGAGGAAATAAAAAAAAAATCACCTGCATAATAGAAAATAAATTTGAAGCTGTGGAATGTAGAATAGACTTGGTCGAAAGTAAGGTTGGAGAAACTGAAGAAAAAGTTTCTTCTGTCAAAGAACAAAGAGAAGGCAGAATTTCTACTGCGGATGAACGAATTGAAGGAAGAGTTTCTAACGTCCAGCACCAAATCGAACAGCAAATTGATGACAGGGTTTCTTCAGTTGCCAAAGAAGTTGATAATTTAAAGAAATTCGTAGCGACAGCAGGGAGCAATTCTGATGGTTTTAAATTTTTACCGATGCCTGCTCGTCCGTCTTTGAAGCTACCACGTATGATGGGAAGACCTCCTGGCAGGTATATAAGACACAATTTTCTATAGTTGCTGATGCGAATGGATGGGATTCCCAAGCTAAGGTCTGTCATCTCGCCGCTTTCTTGAGAGGCAGACGCAGCAGATATGCTACAGACTCTTCCCGAAATCCTGCAGACTTTGAAGCTCTATCCCGCGTGTTGGAGCTGCACTTTGGCGAGAAATATGTAAAAGATTACAGTAGGTTTCAATTAAAATCCCGTCAACAGAAACTCACCGAAACACTTCACGAGCTCGACACGGATGTTGAACGGCTGTCCCATCTTGCCTTTTCGGAGTGCCCGACAGAAACAAA